TTCAGTAAGGCTTCTGAAACAGTCTCTAGTACAACTATCATAGATAAGCTGTTGATGAATAGGCAGGATGAGCAGAGAGTGAGGTAGAGAAAACTACCTGAACAGACAGGATCAGAGAGTGTTTACTAGAGACACTGAGTCTAACTGGAGGCCAGTAATTTGCACTGTACCCCAGCAGTCAATACCAGGTCAGTTCTGTTAGCATTGTCATTTATGATCTAGCCAATGGAGCAGGGTATCCTCAGCAAGCCTGCTGATAATAAAGAACTGGAAGGAGTGGCTCAATTGCATATTCAAAAGGGTTACTTTGCTATCCAAAGCAACCTCAACAGGCTGGGGAAATGGGCTGACAGGAACATTATGAAGTTCAGCCAAAGGACGTGCAAAGTCCTGAACACGGGGAAGAAAACAGCTTGTGAGAAAAGGACCTATGGGACATTCTTATGGACACCAAGTTGAATATGAACCATCAGCATGCAAAAAAGACCAACTGCGGCTGCAGGCATATCATCAGCTCATCAGAGTAGGTGATTGTTCTCCTCTTCTCAGGGATGGTAAGGTTAGAGCTGGAGTACTGAGTCCTGTTCTTGGTTCTTCTTTACAAGAGAGACATGGATACCAGAGCATTTCCACCAAAGGTTAGAAAAGATGGTGAAGGACTGGAGCATCAGTTCTATGGGAGAGCTTGGACTGTTCAGCATGGGGAAAACAAGACTCAGGGGTGGTTCTTTTTGAGACTTACAGATACTTGAACAGGTGCAGTGTAGAGCCATGTTACTTTCAGTGGTGCCTTGTGTCACAACAAGAGTTAACAGACAAACTGAAACATAGCAGGTTTCTTCTGAACATCAGCAAGCAGTTTACAGTGGGAAATGACTGAGCACTTTCAGGTGCTCACCATCTAACTCTAAATAAATTGGCAATAAATTAAATTAATTTTCCAAGTCTAGTCTCTTTTGTTTGTTATGGCGATAGCATGCCATTCACTGCCTTTATCTCGATCCCTACTCTTTTTCAACTTATTCTTTCTCCCCTACTCAGTAAGCAGAATGAGAAAGTGAGAGTATGGCAGCTAGACAAGGCCATGCAGACACTTAGTCCATCGAGATTTAAAAAAAAAAAAAAACCACAATACAAAAACAGGCATGCCATTTCTAAATGATTGGCAAAACTGCTCACAGACCATGCTATGCAACTCTAAAACAAAGTAGATCAGTTGGATGCCAGTATGCCAACACACCTTCAACTGTAACCTCAGTTTGCAGAGTGTAACAATGTCAGCAAGTGATGGAAAAGAAATTATACTCACACACAGAAACAAATTTTTTTTCCTAAGCAAGCTGACACTGTTGTATGTAGGTCAAGTCACCTTAGCAGGAATGAAAGAGATGAAATAAGACACAGATGGAGATCTTCATAATTTGAACATCCTCAAATGGAAAAACTCATTTGATTTAGCCAAAAACCAGAATAACCACAAGGCATCATGGCACTGCTGTGAACACACAGCTCATTAGCATTGACTGACAGAACAAATCTTGCATACTAGTCAAAAATATATTCGATTTATCAAAAACTTCCTGGACACATCTAATACAAACTAACACAAGACTTTAGGTCAGTCTAAATAAAGAGGGCATACAGTTTACAATAATGGCCTTCCAACTTTCAGTAAAACAATGCCTCAGTGTTGATTTTCCTAACTTGAGTGATTACAGAGAAGCTAGAAAACTACTCCATATTAAATGGAAGTACTGCATGACAGACATAAAACAAGTGGAAAAAAAAATCTCAAACTGTAAACAGAACAGAAAAATGAAATAAAAACCTGTAGAAAACCAGCCTAAGTTGAAAAAGCTATCTATAGATAAACAACTGTTTCAAATGAGCATTTTGAATATATAGCTATGAAGCTGAGAGCTATTTTTAATTCTCCTGGAAGAAAAACAAAAGATAAAAAGATATAAAGTTCTCAATAAAGTAGTAAACCAATGAGATCACCTTCCATTTATCAATAAGCAACTGTTAGAAATGGGAATGTAGGAAAAAATTAAACCAAAAAGCCTAGAAGCATCAGCCACAACAGCTCTTGTGTTCCCTACTTGCAAATTAGGATAGTGCTGTAAGAACAGCACTTTGCACTTTCCCTCCCACTCCACAAAAATACTCAGATTTGATACATACACAACACTGCAAAGAAGCAAGGTCCAGCTCCAGATCCAAGTACCTCAACTAACAGACAGAAATTCCTTTTCTCTTAATGCTATATATATGTGTGTGTAGATATATATATAAAAATTATAAAAATATATATAATTTTTTTTTTTTTTTTTTTTTTTTTTTTTTTTTTGCATATCCCTTGCCAATATAACAGAAATGCCCCAATTCAAAACCAGATGGGACAACTGTCTGGGTACTGTGAGGGAAAAAATTATCAGTGGAACAACAACTAAAAATGGTTAAAGAAAAAAAAAATAAAAAAATCAAGGGACAGGGCAACATAGATAAAAGGACAGGCTGGCTAACAGCAGGGAAGATGGAAATCCCAAGTCACAGGGCCAGGAAATAAAAGACACGAGAGGCAACTACCTCTTCCGTCAGGCACAAGTGTCCATTAAGTTTTCTCCAGAAAGATCTTGGCAGCATCAAGAACTTCAACACAGGTAGTTTTAAGCCACAGTTACCCCTTTTCTGGCACACACATTTTTCCATTAAATTTGTACCAACAGACCTCTGTAACTACAGGCAGTATCTTACAGTTGAAGCTGCCAACATTGTAAGAACTGAACCATGAGAAACTCTCATATTATATTTTTACAGCAAATAGGAATTCTACAAGAATCACTCAAGTATAACAAGAAAATTATTTATAGTCTATTTTGCAGGCGTATTTAGTACAAACATGTCCCCTAAATGGATATTCAGAACAGAATCTGAATAAAAGTAGCCTAATAAAGTAGCTAAATAACAAGAACACTATTTATAGCTGCAAAAATCTGCAAATTGCCTGAAGATGACAGAAAACTGCACTTATGCAAATAAAGAGAATTGAGTTTGAGATTAATTAAATCATTAATCCTTTCTATTTGCAAGTCATTTTCAGAAAACTCTTTAGCTTGACTTTAGGAAAGAATTGTACACGCAGTATTTTATACAAGTCATCTTCAACATTTTGACATTGCTTCTGTATTCACAAGAAAAAAAAGTCCTTAGTTTGCAGTCTCTGAAGCATTTTTTCACTCTTTGCTGAAGTTGGTTTTCCAGTACAAATTCATTTTAAAATCTCCTTGAGACTACGTTATTCTTCTACTATCACACAGGATCCTGAAAAAGTAAGATGCTGGACTATGAAGCCCCAGGCAGGAAGTCTACTAAATTTAACACAATTAATGGAATATTCTTGATCAAGGCAAGGTGCTTTTGATTCACTTTGATAGGCTTTGCCAAAAGATACTACAGAATACAGCTAACCTCCTCCAGAATCCCTCACACTAAAACAAAACTTTTTGCTCTGAATTGGGAATGTGTAAAGCCTTGGTACAGATATTCTAAGATGTATCATCACTAATACATACCCAAGAGAATATCTTAATATTGCTACACTCTCCTAAAGCTCTATCTCCCTTTTTCTTTGAGATATAATATCAGTCCCAGCAGTTTTAATAACTATTTCTTTTCAGTTTTAATTTCGTAAGAATGGAATGTTGTTTCTGCATTAGATATTAAAAAGGGGAATTGATCTGAAGTAGAGTACAATGTACTTGTGTTTTGTAACTCATCCTCAGAAATAGCTGATGTGAAAAAGTAGAAATACCATATATGTTAGTAACATACTTTAGAAATACAGCTGCTGAACTGTGTGAGTAATTCTTGCTTTCAAGTAGTATAGGTATAGTATTATGGACTAGAAAGCATATTGTAGGGCTATTCTGTTTGGATAAGAGACTCTCAGCATAAGAAAAACAGATTTAAACATCAAAGAAGCCATGGCCTGTACTCGAGGCTGGATTGCCTTGCTCTGTGGGTAGGATGGGATGCAACAGGCAGGCACCAACATACTTCCCCCCATCCTCTGTCCAAGCACATCTCTATGCAAGGACGAGCAGATGTCCAGAAACAATAACCAAATGTTGAATGAGCAAGTGTGAGAACTTAACTAATTAGCGATATATGCTTAGCTAGCAAGAATTTATGTTTAGCCAGTATCCATGTTTAGTTGAGCATCGGGAAGATTGTGAACCTGAAGTAATCAGCATGAGGAACCAGGGAAGAAAATGATAAGCATTGAGTAATAGGGCATAAAAGAAGTAACGCTGTTTTCTGCGTGCTCTCCTGCTTGCAGGAAGCCCTCCATTGCAACTGCAAATAAAATCTGCTTTATCAGAGATACTGGCCTGATAAATTCTTTGGATATTTCCAACAATTTTACACAATTCAAGTATAAGAGATGGCAATAAAGAACCATTTGTAATGGAAGCTGATTCCCCTCACCCCCAAAGTGATGATTGCACAAAAGCCAGCTGGGCAAGAAGTAAGACAGATCTACTAGGTTTATTTCCTATCTAGTGATAGGTTCTGGATCTAGAGTGGCAATGTCAAAAATGAATTGAGCAGCTCAATTTAACTAATAACTAACCAGTGGCAACTAACTTGAAATAAGTAAAAAGTAACAAACAAAAACAACATTATCTACATAAATATTTAATCAATGCACTAAAAAACATTCTAAAGAGAACTTGCAGACTGTATTATACAGTTCTCATAAGACTCACTTCTTCAAAAGCCTTGATAATCATTTAAATCCCACCCCAAGGAAAAGTTCATGCAATCTTGAATACACACTTTCTCAAAACACAGGAATGCACACTTCCTCAAAGATATGCCACTAAATCTCCTACCTGGACTGCACAGTAACTCAGCTACAGATAGACGTTCATTTCTGTAAGCACTGCATAGATGTAAGTTTTATACCAAAAACAGTGCAAAAAAAATTCACTTACGAGGCACGAGGATATTTCCAGTAAAACCAAAGACCCATTGCATTGGAATTCTGTTTAGATTCCTGTAAGTAACAAATAAGAAGTAATTTTTTTCAGGCTTCTTACTGAAGTTTGAGATTGTAAAATACAATATGTTAAGAATAAAAGGCTCTCATAATAAACCCACTGAGAATACTATCAATGTTTCCAGTACTTATCTAAATCTTCTGGTACTTATTTAAAAAGTGAGACAACTGGTTCTAGAAGCTAATTATTTACTCCCAAACAAGAAGAACAGGATAAACCAAAACTCCACAAATTTCCACATATAAAAGATCTTCTTGCACGATCAACTCGTGACCTAATACGAAGCAGAGACATCCGAGGAAAGCTACACCTCTTTAAAGTAGATTTTTCAAAATAAATTTCTTTCAATTATCTATAAGGATAGCATATATCAAATGTATACTTGCTATTAATTTCTGAATCAGCAGCTCTCGCAAGAAATAACCACAAGTAATTAAATGAGCATATAACTTTCTTGCTGTTACAGATAAAAATAGGATACTTCCACAGCAGGCTAAAGAATGGCAAAGAAACAACACAGCATCAATAAGTATTATTCCTACAATGTACAAACTAAACCCACAAAGTTATCATAGATTCAAATGCCAAAGCCAACTGAGGCACGCATAAAGACGATCTCCATTGAAGTGCTTCATGATTGCAACAATAGCACATTAATTGACACAATAACATAGATAAAGAAGTATTGCACTAACTACCTGTATCTTTCTTATGAACTCTTAGGGGGAAAAAAAGGCTAAGCAGTACACGATTTAGACTACTTTTAGAAGACCAACACCGGCTGCCTTTCAAAGTAATGCAGTGCATAAAAATATTAGTCAGTCTCTAAAAGCAGCTCCAAATCATTGTGGTTTTTTTGTTTGTTTGTTTGTTTGTTTAATTCTGTTTTTCTGCACAAGAAAAACAGAAGAGAAGATTGGTAGGCACCCACTTCATTCAGTTCAATTAGTTCCGAAGATGAAATGACATTAAGTAAAAGCAGTGAAAAATGAAACAATGGCCGTTCCACAAATCCCCTATCACATCACAACAGTACCATAATATGGACAAAAAAAAAAAAAGACAGACAGACATAAGATGCCACATGTTCCATCTCTTCAAAAGAAGGTTGAGAAGGTTTTACTACAGTTCACTCTTTTTCGTGTAATCCAGTCACTTCTCACAGTCTCAAGCCAGGTACAGACAGCCTCAACCATAATTTTTTCTACTGTACAATATCAATGTATAAATATGTATTGTAGGTACTTCTGCTTTCAGAAGCTACATGGGTATGTATCAAAAAAGAATTCCATTATACTAAATACACACAATGCTCTGAAAATTTTAATTATCTCTTTTTTAACCTCTAGCCTAATCATTTCAAAATTGCCATACTACAGGGTAAGATTGATAGCTATGAGACAGACATTTTGTTTGAGGATCTTGTATCTCAAGCGAGCCACAGCTGTTCTATTGGGTCTTAAACTTAAGGTCTGTGAAGCCCATGTATAAGCTGGGCATCTGGTGTTGAGCACATGGGAATGAGCTCAAGTGTCCCACAGTGCCCTGTGCAGGGTGCTGTTATATGCAGTGAAAGACAAACCAGTCAAGCATGTCAGGAGGTGAGATATTATATATACACTCTGTATAGAAACCTGAAAAGTGTTAGCCAAAAGCAGTCATTTTTAACTTTATTCCAGTTCATAAGACCCAGAAGACAAAGAAGACAGGAAACCTACTTTATGTGTAAAGCATAAACAAGCAAAAGGGAAAAAATAGACCACAAAAAAAAAAAAAATGAGGACAACTGATAGACTGATTGCACTCTTTCCTCTCCCTTCTCTGGAGAAAAGGTGAGCATGTCAGTACCAATTTATTACCCCAATCTTGTCACTGTGGTGCACTGCAAGGCATAAAAAATCCACACCAATTGACTAATTTTGGGTAGCTGAGTGCCACAGAGAGCTAATGAGCCTTGTGTTCCACTGGACACTAGAGCAGTCAACCAGCAGTGGCTGATGGCTCTAAAGTACGCAGGGACTGAGATCACATTACTTCACAGAGACCTGTCCTTATAGCTGAAAAACAAATTGATGAAAATTAATGCTTTCAGGAGAGGGAACAAAAGAAGCCACTTGTGGGATCAGTGATAATACAGATGTCTCTTACCTACTTTTGTGGTGAATATATACAGGACATGGCTTGCTGGCAGGCAGAAACCTCCATGAAAAGGCAGGGGCAAATATTCATTAGTGGTTTGTTCACACCATTACTGTGGGGAAGCAGTTACAGTTCCTACTGATTTGGGCACTCCTCCAAACAGTACAGGCTGCACAAAGGATACAGAGATCACCCACACAGCTAAGCAGCCATCCGAGGCTGAAATAATTTTGGGATCCTGCTCTTCATTCAGCTGCCCCACTTGGCGAATGAAAGTATCCGACAACTACCAAAAAACAATAGCTGGCTACTGACCATCAGATCAGGCTGCCTCATAGTTGTAAGATCTGACTGCCACTCTTTTCAAGAGAATTGAGTCTGAAGCCATGACTCAATCCAGTGTTTATCTTCAGCAGTTGAGTTGCTGAGAAACTGCAAGAGCAATCTGCATTCTCACGTGAGGCCAACAGTACATAGCGCTGTCCCCTAGTTTGTCATGTGCTGGTAGCCCCATGTTTGGAAGGCTGTGATATTCTTCCTGCATTATAAAACATTCAACTCCACAAAGAAGGGAAGACTGATACACATCACTTATCTAGACTTTTTCAAGGCCTTTGCCATGGTCGCATGTAACATTCTCAGGGATCTGAAGGGTGAACAATTTGGTGGAGAAGAAGTTGGATGGATGGCTGCAGCCAGAGAGCAATATGACCAGGAGGAGGCCTTTGATGAATGGTGCCCCTCAGGGGTCTATCTTAGGACTAGTGCTCTTTATCTTCAGTCTAGACAGCGAGATCAAGTGCATCTTCAGCAAGTTCGCAGAACTGGGCCCACATGAACCTGATGAGGTTCAACAAGGTGTTACACTTGGGTCAGGGCAATCCTAGATACAGACTGACAGAAGAACTCATGGAAGACAGAAGGACTTGTGAGTTCTGGTGGACAAAAAAAAAAAAAAGCTAAGTACAAGCCAGCAACATGCACTTGCAGCCTGGAAGACCAACTGTATTCTGGGCTGTATCAAAAGAGGAGTGGTCAGCAAGGAGAGGGATGGGATTGTCACCCTCTGCTCTGCCCTCATGATACCCCACCTGCAGTGCTGTGTCCAGGTCTGGGGCCCCAAGTATACAGGAGGGATGTAGAACTGCTGGGAGCAGTTCCAGAGCAGGGTTGCGAAGATAGGGCTGGAGCACACCTTTCTAATGAAGAAAGGTTGAAATAGCTGAGCTTGTTCAGTTTGCAGGAGGCTCCAGGAAGACCTCACTGCAGTCTTTCAGGACATACAGTGGCTTATTTAAAGGAAAAAAAAAAAAGAGAGCGAGATTGACTTTCTACACAGTCTGACAGTAATAGAATTATAGAAGGGTCTGGATTGCATAATGACCATCTAGATTCAACCCCCCTGCTACGTGCAGGGTTGCTAACCACTAGACCAGGCTGTCCAGAGCTACATCCAGCCTGGCACTGAATGCCTCCAGGGATGGGGCATCCACAACCTCCTTGGGCAGCCTCTTCCAGTGTGACAACAGGACAAGGGGAAATGATTTTAAACTAAAAGGGAAGATTTAGGTTAGATGTTAGGGGAAATTCTTCACTCAGAGAGTGGTGAGGCACTGGAACAGACTGCCCAGAGAAGCTGTGGACGCTCTATCCCAGGAAGCACTGTCAGGTTGAAAGAGGCCCTGGGCAGCTTGATTCCGTGGTCGGAAATCTTGCCCACAGCATAGGTATGAAACTAGATGATCTTCCATCCTAAGACACTGTAAGATGTTACCAATATTACTGTAAGGACTACTGGCCCCACAGAGCAAGAAATAGGAGAAACACTGAGTGATGCTGCTGATACTACACAAAATCATGCCTAGGAGGGACAATTCAGCAGGGTTTTCACAGAATGATATCTGAGTCCACTACACAAACCAAATCTACATGGAAATAATGCAGACAAGAAATAGAAATACAGAAGTTCATTAGCCTTTTGGGAAACACTATATACTGCATTTGATACTGAGATGCTATTATATAGCAAGCAAAAAGAAGTCAGGAGAAAAAAAACAAAACGAAACAAAAAAAAGCTGTTTCCAAGGAAGCAGCTTTGGGCCACAAACTAGCCAATAAGCCTTTCAAGCTTCAAGTCATAGCATCAAATAAAGCTTATTGAAGCCTATGACAACAAAACAGACAAGCTAAATACACAGTTGGACTTTTGGTCTTGGAGGTTGATCCCATCACTGTAAAGCTGGAAATCCGGACTGCTTATTCAGTCCTAGCTGCAACAAATAGTCACTAGAAGAGCCAAGGTAACTAACAATAGGGCTCCCAGTTTTACAGTGGGTACTGCCAACTGATTGCAGTCAGTCCACTGGGAAGGCACAACAGACCAGTACTATGAAGTAGAGGTGGCGCATTTCTGCATGGCCTCTACCAGTCAAAACAGACTAAGTTCTTTACAGGAGAAAATAGCACAAATTGGCCTGGGTAATGACAGCGTCCATCTACAATCTGATCTGTCTCCATCCTGGCCACAGAATAAATGCCACATGAGCAATTAACCCAAGAGCAGAAGCAGAATGTACGGTTCAGTGATCAGTCAGGAAGATAATGTGAAAGAGAAACAGCAATGGAAAGCAGCAGCCTTTAAAATGGCTCAGCAAGCCTTGCTATCCTAACGAAGGCATGGGAGAAACAGCCAATATGTCAAATTGATGGCTGTGACTATGGCACTGGAAGGACAGACAGCTAGAGAAATCTTCATACTGACTCCTGGATGGCATAAAGCCTTACACTGTAGGCTAGTGACATTAAGCAGATAACTGGGTAATATAAAATACCCCCTCTCCAGGGTTTTCGAAGTCCT